TGATATGGAAGTGTGAGGGGCAGGAAAACCTCAATTACAGTAAGTATTACAAGTTATTCATCAGTGAGCAGTAATTGCTGAAACTGATGATAATAATAATTTATGTCAGGGTGACATCGAAAGAGCTTAACCAGGGGATATAAACATTGTCCTTACCACCACCCTCAGAAATGGGCAAATACACACCAGGAAGTGGAGGGCCCTGGGAACACTCATTCATTCACCCACAGGTATCTACAGCCTGTCCCAGGCACTGGGGGTACAAGATCAGACAAGCCCCTGCCTGCATGCACCTCACATTCCATGGGGAAGAGACAGACAAGGAAAGATCCAGATGTGATGTCAGGTACCCACAAGTGCCATGAAGGGAACAGAGCAGGGAAAGGTCAGAAAGTGAAGACAGGGACTTTAGAGGTGGGGGTCAGGGCAAGTGTCTCCCTAGGACGCCCCTGAGTGTCAGCAGGGGTCTGAGGGCAGGTAGGGGGTGAGCCGGGAGGACACCTGGAGAAGAGTATTAGAAACAGAGGAAGTAACAGGTTCAGAGGTGCTGGAGTAATGGTGGCCATGCTGCTGACCTTGACCATGGGACACACACACACACACACACACACACACACACACACACCCCAAGGCTGAGAGGTGAAGAGACCTCAGGATCTAGGGCTTCATCTTTCCATCTCAACACATAGATCCAAATATTGATCAATTTCTCTCTTTCCTCCTAGTCTCACTCTTAACCTTCTGGAGCCCGCCCACCACTGCCCAACTCACTCTTGAATTGATGCCGCCCAACGCTGCAGAAGGGAAGGATGTGCTTTTCCTTGTCCACAATCAGAATCAAGATCTTCTACGCTATACCTGGTACAAAGGGGAAAGAAGAGACCCCAAACGTTATATTGCATCATATAGAACAGACGCTCAGAGAAATGCCACTGGGCCAGCATACAGTGGTCGAGAGACAATATACCCCAATGGATCCCTGCTGGTCCAGAGAGTCACCCTGGAAGACACAGGATACTACACCCTACACACTTTTAATACACCGTTTCGGACAAACGTAGTAACTGGACAGCTCCGTGTATTCCGTGAGTGATTCCTCTCTGACCTCTGTGTGTCGGGTGGGGTGAATTCTACTTCACACACACAGATTGACAGCCTGGACTCTGCCTCCATCCCCCCTGCATTACCTCCCAGGTTGGGGTTGCAGTATTCAGTGCAGGACACACACAGTAGAGACAAGCTTCACAAGATCAGAGTTCCCTTCCCAGATTCCAGCCCCTGCAGACATTCACCCCAAAATGAAGGACCAGTCTGATGGGAGTAACTTAGCAGAGGGAGACCAGTCTCAGTCCAGCCCCTGGGCCTGTCCCGTACCATGACCCTGAGAAAGACCCTGCAGGGCTTGGTCAGCCTGGCCTGAGTGGCCCCCTGGGGTCCTGATGGAGAAGCTCAGGCCAGGCAGCCCCTCCCCAGACCCCTGACCCAGGGCCACTAACTCCAGTGTATCTGGGGTCCTGTCCCAGGTTGGGTTTGGCCTCCTGGGCAGAGCTGACTGGGAGAAATAGTTTCCCAGGTGCCTGAGCCCCAAGCTCCTGAGATGGTCACCAGCCAGGTCTCACCCCAGGAGCCACATCTGGGCAGGGGTGGAGCCTGATCCTTCACCTGAGACTGTGCATTGACCCTAGATGGACAAGGTCATAAGGCCATTAGCTGACTGCCCTGGTGGAGTTAGGAGACTCCAGAGCAAGGTCAGTGCACCCTGGGGCACTGGAGGGGCAAAGGAGAGAATATGCTCCTCGCAGCTCCTCATCCACCAAGGATCAAACCAGGGAGCCCTATCTCATGGATTAAATAATAGATGCTGTTACATTGGGCTGCACTTGTATTCCAAGCTTTAGGTCAGGTAATTGTGAAAGATTTAAGATTCACAGACCACATGGCAAGGCTGAAACCATTTACCATTTATCTTGTTTCATTCAGGGGAAACTGAGTTACAGGGGAACATAGACCATGACTGGCCAAACACAGTCATGCCAAGCTCTGTCTGCAGTCATAGCCCCGTCCCTTCCTCCCCCAGGGGCCTATTATGCATATATAGACCCTGAAACCCACTGTTGGTTCAGATCCTTTCTTTTCAGGTGTCCCCAGCTCAGAGGGAGAGATTCTGGTGTGGGGAGTGAAAGCAAATACAGAATTCATCTGTTTCTACTCTAGAAACAAATCACCTGCAGTAACCATCACAGTCAGTGCTGGGACGCCCAGGCCTCCCCCTCAGGTGGCTGATGGCCCCTCCCTGCACTGGACTTGAAATCACTTATTTGTTTCCTGATGTGTTGGTGTCACTCCCACTGGAGTATAAAGGAGAGGACTTTGCTTCTCACTCCCCTCTCCACACCTGCAACCAGCTCAGGGACCAACATGTAACAAACACTAAATTGCTTTTTTTTTTTTTTTAAGATTTTTATTGGGGAATTGGGGTGATGGGAACAGTGCTGGGGAATTGGGGAAAGGGGAACAGACAAGCGTCACTGGCCCTCACATGTGGGATCCGAACCGGGGCCCTCTGGCATCCCAAGCGAGTTCTTAACCATCGCGCCACTCGGCCGGCCCAACACTCAATTGCTTTTGATGAAGGAAGAAGGAATTATGATGAGTGAATGGATAATGAGCGAGTGATTCATAATCTCTACAGATTCTGGAAGATGGATGCAGAGTCCTAGGAGGTTTTGGCCACACCTGTTCCCTGTACCTCCAATAGCTGGGACCCACGTTCCATCCCTCTAGAAACTGGTCTTAGGTCTTCGGGCATTGATAATGATTTTCACATGTTCTTTCACAATATAACTTCTACCAATGTTCTGTCTCATATGTCTTTACAAATGGTTCACAAGGGTCAAGTTTTCAACAAGGACATGCTCCCCCACTTTCCACAAGCCACCCCTTCTGTATTTGCTACTGTCTAGGAGTATTTCAGGAGGAATCGACATGGTCCTCACTGCCCTCAGCAGCGGGAGAAGAGACATTAAAGACCAAGGGCTGAGAGCATGGTCCTGCCAAGCCAGCCAGCTCCCGCCATCCCCTCAATCTTTTCTGATCATTTCTAGTCTTGAATCTGCTCTACCCTCCATGGCATTATTATTCCATGTGAGTCACCTGAACAAACTGCCCCATCTCGAGCCTTTGCCATCTGAGCACTGATCTGGCCTTAGGCTTGCTCCTGGTCTCCCCATGTGTCATTTCTGCTCAAACGCCCAGTCCCCAGGTCAGGGAGTCAGTGGTCAGTGAAGAACCAGGGCAGGTGCCAGGTGGTCTCTGACTCAGTCCCATGTCTTTCCATGACCAAACCCTGATACTTAATTGACTGTTGAGAAAGTCTGTGCTTTCCCCTAGACGTAGAGCTGACGGCCTCATGTTCGCTGAATGCTCAGAGCCTCATGCATTTGTCTGGTGATACACAGACCTGCCTTATTCTTTGAAGGACTCAGGTTGGCTGAGAAGTGAGAGGTGTGAACTCTGATTGAAGATGCCTTTGGAGGAATCAAAGGTACCACACAGGCAATGTTCTCTCTGTTATCTGCACAGCGGAGTTACCCAAACCCAACATCACAAGCAACAACTCTAACCCCGTGGAGCACAAGGACCCTGTAGTGTTCATGTGTGAACCTGAGATTCAGGACACCACCTACCTGTGGTTGTTCAACAGTCAGAGCATCCAGAACAGTTCCAAGCTGGAGCAGTCCAAGGACAACAGGACCCTCACGTTACTCTATGTCACAAGGAATGACACAGGACCCTATGAGTGTGAATCCCGGAACCCAGTGAGCGCCAGCCGCAGTGACCCACTCTACCTGAATGTTCTCTGTGAGTAACTTCTGCCCTCCCTGGCCCAGGCTGCCCACCCAAATCCACACTGCCAGAGGTCAGGCTACATCCGTCCCTCTCAGGTCCAAGTACACACACCCTCACCCCTGGACACCCATACTGGCCATCACTTCCTCTCCCAGGCAAATGCGGGCAGGCTCAGCCTTGAGGTGAGACTAGGAGGGGACGGGCTGCTCCTGTCTTGAGAGGTTCGGGATCAATAACCTCTCATGGAAGAAACTGGTTAATGTCTCAGAATCAGGATCAGTGAACACAGGGAGTTATGGTTGGGACTTTTTAAAACAAGACTGTGACCCAGCTCAGAAGGACAGTGTGGCTCTTATACAGACAAGGAGCGTCCCTTTTTCTGTGATTACATCACACATGGCTTTGTTCTGTTTGCTCCAGATGGTCCGGATTCCCCCATCATTTCTCCCCCAGACACCCATTACCGTTCCGGGGCCAACCTCAGCCTCTCCTGCTATGCAGCCTCTAACCACCCCGCACAGTATTCTTGGCTTATCAATGGGAGCCTCAAGCAATCCTCACAGGAGCTCTTTATCACCAACATCACAGCGAATGATAGTGGAACCTATACCTGCCTCGTCCATAACTTTGTCACTGGCCGCAACAATACCGCAGTCAGAATTATCACAGTCTCTGATAAGTTGCTCCCTGGACCATTGGTAGCAGCTCTGGGGTGGAGGTCTGTCTGTTTTGCAGGAAAGATCTGGAAGAAGTTATTTTCCATTTGCCAGTGTCACAGGCAAATCTCATATCTGTCCCTGAACCCTCCCACTACATACCTGCCGACCCTGCCTCCCCTCTCTCTGAATTCTCATGGCAGATGTGGGTCCGGCCTGGAATGTGAGGAAGGGTTTTTCTCAGCCCCAGAAAGCCCCATGTAATGGAGGGGGTTTGCAGCTGGGGAAGGCAGAAGGGTCCTCAGGTTTAAGTTCCTTTTGGTTGTTGAATTGCAGATATGATTTGCAAATATTTTCTGCCAATCTCTGTGTTGCCATCACTGTCTTCATTGTGTCCTCTAATGCACAGAAGTTTTCCATTTTGATGTGATCTAATGTATCTATTTTTGTTGTTGTGATTTTGGTGCCATATCTAAGAAATCATTGACAAATCCAATTTCAAGAAGTTTTTCTCTGTTTTCTTCTACCACATTTATAGTTTGACTCTTATGTTTAGATTTTT